GATCAATGGAACATGGGTATTCGGGCGAGCAAGTTCAGCACCAAAACTGGGTGTGTCAGTGCGGCGCCTTTGGTGTTAAGAATGTATGAAATTTAATTATACGACTTAATGGATCGAAACATTCCAGTTCAGTGTACCCTTGTTCAGTTCCTGTTTATCATTATAATTTTTTTGTTTACTATAAATTAAGCCATAATCTTGTAAGGGAATGTGCCATATAAATTAAAAAAAAAACCTGCATGAGCCAAAACAAGGAAGAGGAGGGGAGCGAGGAGAGAAGAGGAGTCATGATTGATATTAAGACATTTTTAGTTCACTTTTCTAAAAAATCCCAAAAAAAAGGCTGCCATCATGAACGTTGGTAATCGATATTTGCTGGTGGCAATCACTTGCATTTGCCCTACCCTGTCACTGTTTTTGGAGTGCAAAACAGGAAGGGGGTTTGATTTTTGATCGAATTTGAGAAACAGGCTGGTACAAGCAAGCAAAAGAAAAATCTCCATGTGGCGACAGCCGATGCAAACTCGTATATTGTGCATGTTGCGTTTTGTTTTGATCGCTATAATGTTGTTTTGTTTCATTTCCCGTTGTACTGAAACTCAAAATTGATGGAATTCGTATCGCTAAATAAAATTTATGTGTTATTGTGGCTTGAAGTTTTCTGCTTTTCCATGGTGTTATCTATTGCTATTATGTGGATGGAATGTGGCCATCCACATTGATCCACCAATTGTCCGAATAGCCAATATGTAGTTAAATTTTCAGGATTCTTTAGAACGGAGGGATTACCGCAGTTCCCAAAAATGTCTTGTTGCACTTGACACTTACTCCAGTTCTTTATCTGCTATTGTAATATTTTATAGAATTAACTTGAAAATGTGCTAAGAATGACAGATTTGATGGCCGGTCCTTGGTTATTAATTTCGTGTACAGTTAAAAATTTTCATTTTTTAATTTTTCCCCAACTTTTGCTTTAGTTTGTATAAACTTTGAGCAAAATATAGAGTAACTTGAGAATTGATTTTAATTTCGGGGTCTATGAGGGCTTTGTGTGTTCAATTTCAGTTTTCTAGCTCCCACAGCTCCTGAAACTTATGGTCAGGCAGACTGACGAATAAGATACCAATCTCGCAACAATCGTTTTTATAGTGCAAAAATGCATAAATTGGAAGATGTATGTGAAAAGGGATGCAAAAGTAAGTGCATAAAAATGTTATAAATTTTATATCTTCCTAAATTTCTAATCGGTAGAGTTCCACATCATGATCTAGATTTCGGCACGATATGATGGTGTATATCAAGTACGTCTCGGAACCCGACCGAAAAAGCCCCGCCAAAGTTTTTTTGCCCTAAGAACCACTGAGCTAACAATTTTTTCAGGAGACTGACTGAAGGTTTGACCATTAAGCGAAGCAGCACTGGTCAGAGCGACTGAGAAAATTGCTAGCTACATAGTTGGAGAGCTAGACCATGAATTGTAGTGATCAACTGCAAATTTCCATGACGATTAAGTAGTCCATTCTTCTTTTTGGATGCGATTTCAGGCAACCCGACTTCAAAGTGCAACCAAACCAAACGTTTCACCACCTGTAAAGCCTAGTACCTTCTACGGAGTATAGCCTCGCTTAAGGGGATTTTGGGTGGGCGAATCATCTGGATAGTTACATGGTGTTATAGAATGAATAAGAAGTACATTTAGTTCACATATTTTCTTATAATGATTTTCCGTTTCTTTTGCAATGCATTATGGACGGATGGATGGATTTCCTGCGGGTACACTCTAGGCACATATACAGCCATTGCTTCCTGAGGCATGGTATCCAGGACGGAAATGCCCACTTTGTGTATGCTTTCCCAGTCGAAGGCCGATCACTTATTCCCTCCGTAATTGTCATCGATTGCAAACACGGTGGAAAGGACACAGTTGTGCGCCATTATTCTCTTCATTTCTTTGTTCTTGCGATTTCTGAAATCATTTCAGTTTTTCGTAGTCTTCCATTTTAAATTGCATGATATTCAGCAGGTTGATATTCGTGTACCTGGACATGGAGAAAAATACCCACTATAGGGAGGGTGTTTAGCGTGATAACGTAGACGAACCCGAAGATGTTAAGCAGAGTCAATAGTCTGGCCCTCCGACCCAATAACGACATCAGAGCGTGTCGCTGATGCATCTTTAAAGCTTCAAGTTGGGAAAATTCGAAAATTCAGTTGAATAGCCTGGAATCGGGTCTTGAAATTTTTTGCACGGAAATCTGCGCTCGTAGGTCGGAAAGCGAATTTTATGCATTTCAGTGATCTTATTTCAGTAAATGTTTGATCCAATAAACATTTGATCTTTTACTCGAAATTTTGATTTCATTTAAACATTTGATAAAAAAATTTAATTTTACCGAAATGTTTGGTACGAAAATTTGATATCTTGGCACAGAGAGTGATGAATGACTCCTCAGCTTTCAGTCTTTGTGTTTCTGATCTGAGATCACGCATCGTCTAGTATTAAGTAATATCTATTCTTCGAATAGCGCTTATCAATAACTTGGTATCTGATATTAAACAAATATCCACGGTGTGTCAGCTATAGGCCAGAAAAGCCAAAAATCCAGAATTTTGGCGTTTTTCAGGCGCTCTCCATCAGTTTAAAGTAATCCATAATGAAGTCTTGCACGGATTGGCTCATTTATCCCAGCTAAACAGCAGCAGAAGCTTAGTGAAAAAAAAGCTTAACTCCTCCGATCTCTTGCTTCTCGTAATTTCGTTTTTGTGTGTCGCTTTTTCCACAGCTCATTTTTTGCCTAATAAATTTTCAGCTTTTCTGGCAAATCCACCTGTCCACTGATTTATGCGCCATACTAGCCCTTTTTTTTCACCTCTCATCGCTGCCAGATTTCCCATTTCGCCCTCTTATCGCTACTAGATTTCCCACTCAGCTGTGTCTAATGCAAAAAAAAAAACTAGTTTCTTGCGGTTGACGAATTACACAGGCCGTGCACTGCTTTTGCACTTCCTTTTGCCGCTCAAAAAATATTAGCTTCTGAGCGGCTTTTCATCGACTCATCTTTTAATATACAGATTTGAAGTTGCTTACAAATAGAGGAATACAGCCTCAGATTTCCCATTGAAAGATTCCTAGTCTGTTTAACTGTTTGCGGTAAAATCTTGCAGATTTGTTGCCTAATAACTTTACACCTTTCCTGATTTTTCGCCGAGTCATCTTGTAATTTGCATAGTTTTAAGGTCGCTTGCAAGTGGAGTAACAATACCTTAGATTCCCTCCTAAAGAGTTTCTAGCCATTTCAGCTTTTCGAAGTAAAATTTTTCATCCGTGCAGATTTGTGCAAATACCAATTTTTCGATCTTTATTTGCACCAGCAGCATGATGTCTTTAACTCGAAACTTCAAGTGTTTCTAGTGATACATGCTAAAAAATTAGACCCGTGAGCAGTTTGAGAGTTTTCAGGGGTGAAAAGCGCAATGTCAGCTGGCCGTGTGGTTGTATATGGTGGCAAAGGCAATCTTGGATCTGTTCTGGTTGACTGTTTCAAAAGCAAGCAGTTTGTAAGTGATTCTCCTTAATTTTCAGTTTTTCAAAAATCACGTCGATTTTTTTTGAAATTCAGTTTTTTTTTAAAAATCTAACTTTCGTCAAAATCTTCTGTTTCTTTAGTGATTCCACCGAGTTAAATAATTGCAAAAAAGTTGCAGTATACAATAAGTATAGACACCGCGGCCAATGATCATGCTGATGACAGTATTGTGGTCGATCCACAGGCATCCTGGATCCAACAAGAAAGCCATGTTTTGCAGCAGTAAGTGTTATAATCAAACTTTGCGAGCTATGAATTTACTTTGATTTTCTCAGATTTGATAACAAAAGAGCGAGAAAAAAGATATAAGCCCAGAAATTTTGGGGCTAAGTCCAAGACAACTGGCCTAAATCCATTTTGGATTTCTTCTTTTGTCTTAAGTTATGACCTCAGACGGAGGGAGGGTAGATCCGTGCCAATTTTATAACCCGAAAACTAGCAAAATTACTAACTCGAGGTTTCGAAAATTTAATCTATCGCGTATTTCGCTTCAGTGAGTTGTACTGTGTCTTGCAGCCTTGGTGAATCGTTGAAGGGCTCTCTCCTAGATGCAATCTTATGCGTAGCTGGTGGATGGGCAGGCGGCGGTGCTTCAAGTAAAAATATGATCAAAAATGCGGAAATCTTGTGGAAGCAAAGTGTCTGGACATCAGCTATATCGGCTCGAGTGGCTGCACTGCATCTGAAGAAAGGTGGTCTTCTGCAGTTCACCGGAGCAGCGCCAGTAAGTTTTTTCGCAGAAATTTCAACGAAATTGCGCTTTTGGAGAAATAATTTCGGGAAGAAAATATAAGAGCATCCTAGTAACATCAATAACATGGGCTACCACAGTGCTAGCCCGAGCAGCCTTGGTATTCTTAGTATAAGTGAACAAAAATGTTGATTGCCCATAACTGATCATTAGCGGCTTGCTATTTATTATTTTCGGTCACACTTTTGTTTCAAGTGAGTTAAACGGTTCAGTTAGCTATGCTTTTTACTTAAAAACATTAAAAAATAAAAAAAAAAGTATGATTTTTCTGTGCTGCCTAATCACTACGTCTTAGCTTTCTCAAAGAAAATTTAATTATTTTTCGAGGAAGGCTGGATTTGATTTGCTTGATCCTTTATTCTCTAAATACTCAAAAGCTTGCTTTTGTTATCGATAATCTCACTTTTTATGATAGTGCTAGATCAGATTTGTAATTGAAAGTTTTTGTTAATTTTTATAGTAAACTCGTAGAACTTCGAACAAATTTTTAGCGCTTTTCACTTTTCTACCTGCGCATAATGAGTTTTCTGCTAAATACTGTATTATAATTTATTTCTCGCGATTGCTTATTATAATCTTCTCTTCTTTTCCCCTTCCCCATTCACGCCTCATCCCCTCTCCCCTTTCCTCTTCCCTTATGAATAGTTAATAACGAACGTAAACTAGAAAAGTGAACGAATAAACTAAATGCGCACAGGCCCCCTCCCCTTCCTCCTACCTTTTCCCTCCCCTTACACACGGTTAATAACGAACATAAATTAGAAGAAACAACGAATAAACTAAATACACACAAACAGATTTTTAGAATTTCTCAAAATTTATTCATTCGTTTAAAAAATGAGATTTGTGTGGTCCTTCCTGGCGAGCATTTTTTTTAACTCGAGTTCGATTTATTTCCTTTCATATGCTTGCACATTTTAGGTGCTGAAGGGTACACCAGATATGTTAGGCTACGGAATGGCAAAAGCAGCGGTGCACCATTTGACCAGGAGTCTTGCAACTGATAAATCCGGATTGCCGGAAGAATCCACGACACTTGCAATTTTACCAACAATGTTGGATACGGCGCAGAACCGCAAATGGATGCCAAAAGCTGATACATCTTCGTTAGTTTTTATGACAAGAGCTTCGTACAGATGAGGTCCAGTTGTGGTAATGGTAAGAAATGTATACGACTTAATGGACCGAAGCATTTCTTTCCATTAAAAATATTTTCAACACTGTTAGTTGTTCATTTAACATTAAAATATTTTATTTCTCATTACTTCAAAAACACCTGGGCAGTCGATTTGGATTTCCCATGTTAGTGATGTTACTGGGATGTTTCTGCAGTCCGGGGGCAGCTATGCCAGGCCTGTCTATCCTGGATTGCTTACCTTCAATTATTGCGCGAAAGTTTTTGCATATGCGACTTCGTAACTTTTAATAAATTCTGTTCAAACATTTTTTTCCCACAAAAACTCAGCTGATTGGATACGTACGAGTATTTTTCGCCAGTATTTTATCGCGAAAGGAAGCGGACGCTTTCTTTAATGCGCAAGGTGAAAACAAAAAATCTCTTGACTTTTTGTGTAGAATTTTTTTCTTGTTTTCATGATTTTGTAAGAAGAAACAGTTAAAAATAAATTTTTTCCTCGCTAGCGACTTCAGTAAGGCAAAATATTGGCATCAGAATAACACCAGTTGAAGTGATTTGTTTAACAGATATTTCTTTAAACAGTTTTCAAAGGACAGGCATTTTTAAATACTTCAAAAAAGTTTGAAAATACTTTAATTCCCATAATCACTGCCTAGGTCCAAACATCGGAGGATGGGTTTTTGTTCTATGGAGCTGTTTTTTCGTTTCCCTTTTCTAAGCAGTCGGAATTTTACCCATGGGCTGATAAAGTTAGCTTGTATATTGCATTTTTTTCAGACAGATGAAAACGTTTAGATCCAGGAATTAACCACTTTGACAAACTGTAGATATATCTTGACTTCGTATACTTCTGTAGTTTTCACGAACACTAGAGAAATTATGCTTGCAAAAAAACGAAGTATGCACATCATGTCTGCATTAATTTTGCTTCAGGTGGACATCACTGGATTATGTAGCAACACTGTTGCATCAGTGGATAACAGATCCATCAAGTCGACCGCCGAGCGGATCGCTCGTCGAAATAAAGACAAACAGTGATCAGAACGAATTAGAGATACACTAATCACTTCAGCCGGTTACTTTATGTGTTTTGCACGGATTTTTATTGGAATGCGTATTTGTCAAGAGCGAGCAAATTGTTTTTCGCGCAGTTTTCTTTACAAGTGTCCCTTGTGCGGTTTCTCGAGATTTTATGATTTTGCTTTCTTTTGAAAATAAGTGTACGCTATAACAAACCCACTTAACAACACACCAAGTTTGCCAATGCGATCATGCTTTTTTGCGCTAAAGTTGAAAAAAACTGGATCATTAAAAGTACAAATAGTTGCTGCGTTAGAGTATAACAGGCCTACTCATGTTGACTGCGCTTAGGCCTTTTCTTGCATGCAGGAGAAAAGGATGTCGACTGAGACGGCGGTGTTGCATCATGGGACCGCATGAAGCCTTAATCACCGTCACGCATAATTACCGTAAGTTTATTCGGTGATCAGTCGTTCATTGAAAAATGCAAAGTGGACAATGAACAGGATATCGAGGAAGAAGGATGACGAATCCACAAAATGCACCTCTTGACAATATGCGTTTTAGCATTTGCATAAGATGCAAGAATGCATGAAAATGGTAATCAGCAAACTTGGTCGAGTAAAGCTGTTAGAGTTGTCAACGTCGCTGTATTTTTAGATGGCCCCATCCATCAATGCTGCTTGCGGTATCGCTGTTGTCTGAAGCGATCTTTTCATTTCTGTGCAACCAGTTTTGCCCAGTTGCGTACTTTGTTTACTTTTTCTTTGAAATTGTAATATTTTCAAGAAAATAAACCGTTTTGCAAAAGATTGCTTGCTTGTCATATTTTTACACGCTCGTCATACGTTCTTTTATTTCCAACTTTGTTCCTACACACACCCGTCGTGTTGTCAAAGCAATATTCGCGAAATTTTGTCGGAGCCAAAAATGGATTTTTTCCCGGCAAATGAAAATTTCCCTTTTTCAACAAAAGTAAAAAAAAAGCAATCAAAAAATACCATACTGCGTTAAAAATCCTGCTAGGAGATATCAAACTGTATTGAAAAACAAAAAAAACTAAACGCAAAATTTGGTTCCTGACTCGATTCTTGAATTTCTTTGCTGCTCTGCAGTAAGTCTAAATGCAAAACAAAAGCAAACCCAATACTCAAACTAGTGAAGTAATTCGTCCAAGCCATTTAGTGGAAACACGCACAGTTGCACTGGCCCACCCGGTGTGAGCCGGGAATGAT